AAGCATTTCCCCATTTTTTTACAATTCCCATATTTCTTTGTTTCCAAATCCAGTTTCTTGTCCCTTCTTTCCCCCTATCTTTTCTCCTTTATTCTTTCACTCCAGTTTTTATTCCTCTCTCTATTTATAGCTTCCTTTTACCCTTTGAATTTCTGCTGACTCTTTTTCCCTTTTTAATTTTTTTGGATATTCCCCTTTTTATTTAATTTCTTAAATCTCCTGTATTTATTTCCAATTCTTTTCTTCTTTCTTTCAAGAGTTCTTTGTTCTCGATGGTCACTAAAGATGGCTCCTTCTATGATTTGCTCCACCTCCTCTTCTGCCTTTTGTCTTTGTTGTTCATATTCTGCTGTCGCATTTTCAATAAATTTTAAAGCAAAACCCAGCGATTCACCTCGTTCTTGTAGTGTTTCTTTCATTTTTCTGAGTTCCATTTTTAATGCCAGAAGAGAAATCGCCATTTTACAACTTTCTGATTCGCAATTTAATCCAAATAGTATCTTTAAAGTTTATTTCCAACAGTCAACTTTTCTTCCTCTCAAGTTTTTAAGTCTCCACTAATCCAGTGCCAAATCCATGTCAGAATCAGCAATTAATCCAAAGGCAGAATCTTCCTACTTCTTTCTTTGTTACAATGTTTCAATTTTTCCAAAGTTCTTGCTTTATTGTATCAATTTCCATACAGTTTCAAGAAACAAGAGTTTTTTAAAAAGAAAAACAAGTTGAGTTTAACTGAGATAGCACTCTTTATTATGCTAAATCTTCACCCCCTCTTTTCTTTTTTCTTCTCTATTACTCAGAGCTTTTTAAAACACAATTTTCCAATGAGAAAAAGATCAAATCTAGTTGATATTAAATTTCCTCTTTAACAGTCTATAGTTCAGCTTTATTAGTGCCAATATAAAATCAAAATATACTTATCCAAGTTGATTGTATAGTTCCTTCTCCAGCTTCTACCTTTTGAGGTTTCAAAGCCCCGACACCGTCAAAAGCAATTCACACCTTTTTTTTCTCTTTCTCTTCGCCACTTAAATCTTTTCTTAAAGATTCTTTGAAATGTTAATCCTGGGGGTATCTTCCATTTGATTATATCGTCCTGTTCCTCCTGCTGTTCGCTTCTTTCTCTCTCTCCTGCACAATCTTATTCCAGTCTAATCTTCCCCTTCAGGGTGGCCATTTTAGACCACCGCTTCAGATGTCTTCGGGAGGGAGCAATTGCCAAACTGGGGAGGGGATTTGCCACTCCCCTCTACCCAGCTGACAGTCTCCCCTTCCTCCGCCACCCCTACGAGGCAGCTTCTATCCTGAATCCAAAGGATTGGGGCTCTCTGATGCCGAAGCATGAACCAAAGCCGCGCACGATCGCGGTCAGCGGTCCGTCTTTGGGGAAGCTCAAACCAGGAAGTCCAGAAGCTGTACTTATTAAAGCACGGAAAGAACTGCTTTAACCAGATTGTCATGAAGAGCAGGTGTGATGTTTATTTCTTCTGGATGCATTTGATCTTTTTTTTTTTTTTGTCTGTTGCATTAAATCTTTACTTTAAAATGTAAGCTGGGGTCAAGTGGCCTGAAGATGTAATAAACAAATAATTAAAAAAATCAGACAAAAACAAATTCAAATTTATTAGTGACATCTAATTGGATTGGTATCTCTAGTTTCCAAAATACCTAGAATGAGGAGGTTAGGATTACTGAATTATTGAATTTTATAGTTGCCCCACTATAAAAAAGATGTTGAGATTCTAGAAAAAGTGCAGAGAAGAGCAACCAGGATGATTAGGGGACTGCAGACTAAAACATATGAAGAACGGTTTCAGGAATTGGGTATGGCTAGTCTAGTGAAGAGAAGGACCAGGGAAGACATGATAACAGTGTTCCAATATCTGAGGGGCTACTACAGAGAGGAAGGGATCAAACTATTTTGCAAGGCATCTGAAGGCCAGGCAAGGAATAATGGGTGGAAACTGATAAAGGGGAGATTCCACCTTGAAATAAGGATAAATTTCCTGACAGCGAGAACAATCAACTAATGGAACAGCTTGCCTTTGGAAGTTGTGGGAGCGCCATCACTTGAGGCTTTCAAGAAGAGATTGGACTCCCATTTGTCAGAAATGGTGTAGGGTCTCCTGCTTGGGTGGGGAGTTGGACTAGATGACCTACAAGGTTTCTTCCAACTCTGTTAATCTGAATCTGAAGGATCTCTGGGAGAATCTGTTGATTCATGAACCCACCCACTCCTTTCTGTATAATAGACTACAGTGGGCCTCCACAACATGTGGCTGTGGGCCACATCTCTCCCACCTTACATCCTAGGTACTCTACTGTATCCCACGAACACTTTTTAAAAAAAAGTCAGTAAATTTGCCACCAAATGCCATCACCACCAAGAAAGATCCACTGCTGCCCTCTTAAAAGGCACACTCCCAAGTGCCTCCAAAACCTCCAGGAATTTTCACGGTCAGGTCTGGAGCTGCAGCTGCTCAACTAGCTGCCAAATCATGGATTCCTTTGTGGTCAGTGATGATTTTTAATTGGGGCTCTTTATCTTCTACATAGCTGGCTGGAGAATTCTGGGAATTGAAGTCCACAAGTCTTAAAGTTGCCAAGTTTGGGGACCCCTGATCTTCTACATGAGGTGCAGACCTGGTCTAGAAGTTAAAGAGCTATGTCAGCAGAGGTTGCCCAGCAAAAAAATCTAAAAATGCTGCTTTTATTCTCAGAAAGTTTTAGCTTCAACTAAAAGGAGTCCTGGGCTTTTTTGCCCCATCAAGAATAAAGGTTCACCATCATTTATACAAGCTTTTTGCAGACATCAATTTTCTTAGAGGAGAACAAGGTTTTGTTAGGTCTGAACATCAATAACGTAAATTGCCTAGCAGAAGCTTTGAATACAATGTTAAAGTGTGCAGGGAAAAGATGCATTTTTAATCCATATTAAAAGCACATGCACAGATTCCTTAGTTGGAACCTCAGCTGGGTTCTTTTGACACTTAGAAGAAACTTTTTAAAAATCTCATGACTACATGATCTCATAAACGATTAAAGACAGCCTGATGAAATTTCTCTTAGATAAGTTGCATAGTTGGAACCGCTTTCTGCTAATTTCCACTAGTGTATTTTTCATAATGATGAAGTGGTTCTTAGGCCAATTTTCTCCCTCATTCCAGGGTTGTTGCTTAGAACTCAATAAATTTCTCTACTTCAGTCTGCCTTCATCAGTCTGAGCCTCATGAGTGTGCCCAGTATAAGTGGGTTTTTGATAATAGATTTTGCTCTTATTTGGACAGGACATTTTCAATTGCAGAAATCTGAAGCAGCGTTAATATCTTGGTAAACTTAGGGAATGAAATGGAGGGTGGGACGGGGGGAAGGGCATATTTTTCCATGGACAGAAAAAAATGCATCGTGAAAGCATAAAGTAGAGCACTAGGAAACAATTTCTTCTCTCTTAGAGGAACAGTTCATGTATGTTCATTAACTCATTTTAATGATTGGCAGGCTTGATCAGTGGTGGGATTCAATTTTTTTTACTACCGGTTCTGTGGGTGTGGCTTGGTGGGCGTGGCAGGGGAAGGATACTGTAAAATCTCCAGTCAGAGGTAGTATTTGCCTGTTCTCTGAACTGTTCAAAATTTCCACTACTGGTTCTCCAGAACTGGTCAGAACCTGCTGAATACCACCACTGGGCTTGATCATCAGCTCTCTTTGAGCTCTATAATACTGGTCAGCATAATTTTATTTTGGTTGCATTTGGGAGAAGATCCTGCAGAAGTTACTGAAATAGTATTGTAGATTCTAGGCTCTCACTCAAGAAACCTTACTGTTTTTCAATCCTATTTATTGATGGTATGTATAACAACCCTGCCAATGTCAGTGGTGGTATTCTACTGGTTCTGCCTGGTTCTGCTGAGCCGGTAGCACTGATGAGCAGTGGAGACCCAATTGGTTCTCTCCGACGCTTTGCTGTTGGGCCTACCCGCCCACCCGGGCTCCATACTAACCTTTATTCCCTGCTTTTGAAGCGCAGCTGCTTTGCATGGCACAGCAGATTGCTGCGCGGCAGCTGCTGAAGCGACCGGGAGAGTGCAGGATTGCAGGAGGTGAGTCAGAAGGCCTCAGTGCCTATGCAAAGTGCATGTTTGGCGCACACGTATGTGCAAAGTGTGTGCGTGCATGCAAAGCGTGCATACCAAGCCACGCCCACTGAGCCGGTGGTAAAAATATTTGAAACGCACCACTGGCCAGTACAATTAATTAATTAATTAATACTAAATACTATATGAATGAAACTTATCCTGTTCTATGTTACATATAATTTATTATATGGATATCCATTACATAAGATTTACATTTTAGAAAAGGACACTTTTCTGCGTACGTACAGCATTTTTGCACTCTTATTATAATTATGATTTTTGTTTAGAAAGGAAATTCATTACTGTATATTGGTGTTCTCTGAATTCCATGGAAGTTATTTCCTCAACTAAAAGCAGTATTGTCCTGTGAACAGACAGATCCATTTTGATTAGAATCCCTTTCAGGGAGAGGCCATTCTGATTCCCCAGACCAGAAGAGAGGAGCAAGATCAGCCTTGAATAGCACACAACTTTTTTTAGAATAGGAAAAAAGAGAAATACATTGGTTTTGTGTGTGTGTGTGTGTGTTTATGTGTGAATTTGAACTCGACTCCTGACAACTACCGAAACTAGTCCCTATAGTTTTATTGGAAACTCACAGTCCCTTTCTTGGTTTCTAGTCTGATTGTGTTAACCACTACCAAACTGGTTCCTATTCTACTATCTATTTTCTTGTGTATTCGCAGTTGAGGATATGATTAACTAAATCTGCACCAGATATATACTATGCGATATATGCTAATGAAATTATGTATTCTTGGTCTGACATAATGGTATCGTGATACAGTTAATACAAACAATGATAACAGGTCATATTTTTCTTATCTATAAAATTATTTCTGCTTTGGTTTGAATCCTAATTAGAAAATGTTTGAATAAATCTGAAGAAAGCAAATCCTATGCATCTAAGGTCAGCAAAGAACAAAATGAATTCATCGCACAACTTTGTCATCTTCTGGAACTGGGCATAAGAGGAAATGAAGAGTCACCAGAACGTCTGCTCTCCAAGGTTTTCTTTTAAAAATTATACAATAATAAAATGTGTGCCTCTTCAAATTAAGCTACAGAAATAGTAGCAAAGCATTAAAGACACCTATTTTATGAGCGGAGCCCTTTTGAATTAAATAAGATGTCAGATTTTTTTCCCAGGACTCTGAATTAATTCTATTTCCACTCTGGTTTTTATTGTAGGCCCTCATGTGGGCCCTTGCTATAAAAATGTTATAAATGTTGTTATAATAAAATGCAGTATTAACCTGAAAACACCATGGAGCCAGCAGAAAGATAATAAAAAGCTAGGAAGAATAAAAATGAAATCTTCAGGGGCTGGTTAAAGCTGCCAGAGAGAGGATGTTATTAGGTAAGAGAGTTTTACAGTCCTGGCAGTGTTAATGCACATTCTTGCAGTCCTCAGGTAAGCAGAACAATATATCTGCATAATTTGCACTCTCCTATGCTGACACCTGAACTCTAATTTACCCCAGTAATAAAGCTTGTGAATGATCTTGTCTTTATACTTTACGAGCAGCAATCAATAGATTCCCTTGGCTTCATGCCCCCTTCCATCTGTGTCAGCGGCTACACTGATCGCTCTTCTGTAAGTGTGATGTAGTGCAGTGGCCCCCAACCTTTTTTGTACCACGGCCCGGTACCGGCATCACAAAATGATCCACGGACCGGTACCGGCATCAGCACGCATGACCAAGGCGAGCCGAGCCGAGCCGAGCGACCGGCCAGCCAGCCGTTCCCCCGCTTCTCCCCGCCACCTTCAACTCCTCCTTTGTACCTTCTTGCAGTCGATGGGCTTTTCGGGCTCTTTCTTAATCTCCTTCTGGGTAACGCGAGACTCCACCACCATCGGGACGGCTTTTCTTTCGAAGCCGCCCCCCCCTTCGACGAAACTAAGGTGCGAGGATTCCTTCAGCACCCAAACGCCAACCGACGACCGACAAGCTCACCTGGAAGCACTTTCTCAAGCACCGTCAAAACAAGATGGCGGCGCCCAAGCAAAATAGGTGGCCCAGAACAAAATGGTCCACAGACCAGTACCAGTCTGGGGCCCGGTGGTTGGGGACCACTGATGTAGTGGACTTAGGTAAATGGAAGCAAGATCATACCTCCAGGATGCACTGGGGATAAGGCAAAGTCTGCATCATGAAAACAGGTCCTACGGAAATAATTGACAGGGCATATTTGTGCTGCAGTTAATATAAAGTGAGGCTAAGCCCTAGGCAGTCTACCTCTGATACTGAAGAATGTATAATTCTCATGTATAATTCAGATAGATATGGCATAATTTAACCAGGGGTGGGATTCAACCAGTGTTACTACCGGTTCGGTGACTACGTTTTGCAATGCGCGCATGTAAAAAAACTTAAGCTGTGCCGCTGGGACAGCTGAAAAGTGCTGCGCATGGGTGCACAGCGTTTGAAAAGCGTCTTTTTTCTTGTTTTTTCAACCTCAGCTGTGCCGCGCAAAGCAGCTGAAGTTGAAAAAGCAGGAAATAAAGGACAGGTAAGAGCCCGGGTGGGCGGGTGGGTGGGCCAAACAGCAGCAAACAGAGAACCGGTTTGGTGTCTGCTGCTTTTCAGAGCTACCAGTTCTATAGTGCCAGGCAAAACCGGTATCATCCCACCCCTGAATTTAACCCAAGCTTATTCTAGGAACAGCTGCCTGCCATTATCCCCCAATAATAAATGTAGAGATCATATATTGAGCTTTGATGTTACATTGCTTGTCTGTCTGCTGCTTTCTTGGTAAGGTAGTATCTTAGAGATCATAAAACTGTATTCAAAAATAAAATTTCATGAACAGATAGTATAGTTTAGAAATCTTTTTCTTGCAAGAGTTATACCAACCTAACCGTTCCTCCAGGCTTAATTGTATATTGTCAGAGTAGCTGTGATGACCCAGGGTGAGATACAAACGTAACAAAATCCAAAATGTAAATAAATGTCCTTTAATGCCTCCAAATTGGCCCCACTGTTCAATAATACTCAGTTGGAAATAAAATGTACTCAAAAATAGTCTTCAAAAGAAAGCAATACAGTCCGAACTTAATGAGCAGATAGAGGTGAAATAAAAAAACCAAACAAACTACAATGACAAAATTTCCACAACAGAACAGAAGTATTTACCAAATTCAAGGAGATAACAAGGCACTGTCTGTTGGAAGGACTCCAACCAAGATATCTTCAAACCAAAATAAAACATACTTTGTTCCAAGTGTTCACCAGTACGCGGGACCAAACACTTGTTCAGTTACAGGATTAGGCCAGTAATTTCTTCTAACAACCGGTTCTCCGAACTGCTTAGAATGTTAACAACCGGTTCTAGCGAATAGGTGTGAACTGGTAGAATCCCACCCCTGAGTAAAAGGCTCTTGGGAGCTCAAATTTTCAATATGAGCAGAAGTATCTTCAGATCTTGGTTGCAGAAAGCCAAATAGCTATGTGACGGCAGCAGAAAAATATGGAGCACTGAGCTGTTTGTTCCTATTTATGTTGTGATCTGGAATTTTGCAGCCAAGATCTGTAGCTCTAGTTAACTTCATATTTGGGGGAAATCTCTTTTGAAATTGACTGTAGACTTCCACTCAGATCAGAATTTCTGCTGACCCACATAACTTTTTCTTAACTACCTGTACTTTTGGGGGATCTTGTTTGGAGTCTGCTGAACACTTCTTTACTTTTATCCGGATTTAACAATATATCAGAGAGAGGGACTGTTAAGTCAAAGAGAGCTATTGTTTTATTGTTACTTGACATCCAAAATCATCAGGATTGATGAAACCACAGACTAGGGACAGCAGGAGGCCATCTAAAAGCAAGCTGTCTAGAGTTGCCACAAACAACAAGATGGACGGTATATATATTTAATAATAATAAAACAAAACAAATAAACAAAAAGGCAACTTTTCACCACTATTGCACACATTCTCCTTAACATTTAATAATAGTTACTTTCCACCTGGCTATTCAGTAAAGCTTTTAACACATCAGTAAGATTTTATAATTTCTGAACAAATCTAAAACCAGGAAAAAACCCACACAGCTCATACATTGTAATCATACGAAATATGAAGTTGGCAGAAGGCATAACATTAAGACTCTCATTTTTAATGGATTACATTCAGTATAACAGCTGTAAGGAAATCAATAAAAGCAATGCCAGATAAAGCACTAATTAAAATACTATAATAAAAATACTAATACTTTAGCCAGGTATAACATTACTATTATAATTATCATAAATAAACCATCACAAATAGTGAGTCTGGGGGGAAAAAACTAATCAGCAGGCAGCTTTGGTTTCAAAGATGTACTAAAAAAAGAAGGATATAATTATGGCAATAAGACAAGAAATGAAGATGATAACTGGGCCATGCATAATGCCATAAAACCATAATGTGGTTTTGTGGCTTAGCATGCTGTAAAAACCTGCCATTGTGGTTTGTGAACTAGAGTTTGTAGCTTAACACAATGGGTAACCCTAGAAAATTGTAGCTAATGTAACAAATCAGTATTTTGTGAGCCCTGCCTCAACTTCCTGAGGTGACCCATGGCATGTTCAGTGTAGCTTAAATGCCTACTTTTGATCTAGACTGCAAGGAATGACAAATCGAAAAATTCAGCTACTATTTTTACTGTTCTACCAGACAAAATCTAGATTACCTTTTGAACATGAACTATATTTGTGCAGTTATCTAGCCTAAAATGTATCTTAATAGCATACTCTCAAGAGGCTACTTAGAAAATTGTCTTCTTCATGTGAGGAGGAAGGAATGGAGTTTTGCCACTTGATTCTTATGGTCTTCACACAAGAGGAATGGAGCTTGTAGCTATCACTTGCTAGTACACACTTCTCATACACCAGTTGCCAGAAGAGTAGTTGTTTACCAGTGGGAGGCAGCTATTGGTTTCTAATCTCTTGTTATGTTAAACCATTTTCTCCAAGTTTTAATTACAAGTAGAAGAAAATTCTAACCAGATCTTCATTACAACCACTTTGGTATCTTAGGTATTGTAATCCTCACTCCCCCAGAAGAAGTTTCTTTTCCTTGGTGGGAACATATTAATGAATGGACTGTCTCTGTTGCATTATCAGGCAATAAAATGGTATATACTATGGTGTAGGGCTGTAACGGTAGAAGTAAGGTTCCCAGGTGGTTTATTCTTTGTGTTCTTAGGGTGCACACAAAGTACTGTCTTCTCATCTTGCTTTGCTTTACTTTATTTTGGATCTGGTAATTATATGAGCAGCTGTTCAAGTAGTATAGGCTTTTCACAATAAAGATTGACGGTTAGTCACAGCTGTGCACTTGTCGTCCATATGCACTGACAAATAGCTTGAGGTTGGAGGGGGAATCTGTGATTTCCTGCTTGTAGATCTTTCTTCCCGTTCTGGAAGCCAGAGAAGAATGTTTCTTATCATTAAAACCAGTCCCACTGGTGAGAGTGATATCATACCTATAATGGAAGTTGCACAATTGGAACATGGAAAATGAAAAATGAAAAAATGGTCATAAAAACAGTCAGGACAAAATGGAATATTGAGGGTTGGAGACTGGACAATGTAGTGTAAAAATGAATTAAATTTACAATAGCAACATAAATGCTACTGCAGATAATTCCCCAGTTCCTAATAGCAAGGAAAGAACATATTTTATAAACTAATGGGAATTCTCCTGCATTTCCATACGAGGAAGTCTAGATTAAATTCTACTACCAAGGTTATATATGGCCACAGAGGACAGTGCAGATGCTAAAATGCTTCATTTCAACACCCCCCCCCCCACTTTTAATGGTACAACTGTAATATGACAAAGCAAAACTATTTAAACATCAATTTAGTGACATTGAAAACAACAACGATTAAATTACCCATTTGAACACCATATCTCACTTTGGTGCTTCCAGATTCGTGGAATGCGTGAAGAAAATAACATGCTAAAAGAACAAAAAGATACCTTCAGAGAAACTGTAACAATTCATGAGATGGAACTGAAAGCCAACAGAGAAACCATCATGAGGCTTGTCTCAGAAGTGAACAAGGAGCAAAAAAAAGCAGCGGCTTGCTCTCAAGACATAGAAAAGCTAAGTGATGTATGTCTTTTAGTGCATGTTTATGACCTAAGAGCTTTCTTTATATATGAGGTGTTTGTGCATTCAGTCTGCATAACTGTGGATGTGAATTCCCAAGAGCCTCCGTGGTGCAGTGGTTAGAATGCAGTACTGCAGACTACTTCTCCTGACTACCGGCTTGCCTGCAATTTGGCAGTTCAAATCCCACCAAGCTCAAGGTTGACTCAACCTTCCATCCTTCTGAGGTCGGCAAAATGAGGGCCCAGATTGCTGAGGGCAATATTCTGACTCTGTAAAACCGCTTAGAGAGGGCTGTAAAACACTAGAAAGCGGTTTATAAGTGCTATTTCTAGTGCTATTAAAGTGTATTCCAAAATGTTTTCTGAAGTTTTGCCTAGATAGGAGAACTAGAGCTTTGAGATCAGAACTATCTTTTTTCTTTTTTTCATTTTCGTAAGTATGGAAATGTACAGTAACCTCTTATTCAAATTGAGACTACAGCATTGTTGATTTGGACCAAATTCAAGTCCATTTTTTTCTTTTCTTTGGGTTATGCACCAGATAGCTGCTTTTCAGTATTGGGGAACAATTACCTGTAGACAGTTTTTAAGCCAATGTTAGACAAATTCATGCCCTCTTGACACCTTATATTTTAGCTCCTCTCAGATGCAACCGGTATGCTCGGTGACAAGGGATTGAGGAGCTGAAGTCTAAACTAACTGGCTTTTAAATTTGGCACTCACATGAAAAGTTTCCCCCAAGTTTTCTGAAATGTTTCTCCTATGCTGTCAACTCATTCTGCAGTTGAATTTGTAAAATTACAAATCCAAACCGTTCAGTAAAAGCAATGGAAGTTGGAAGCAATTTTTACATCAAAGTAATGTAAACAAAAAAATCATACATAGTAGGTTCATTCCAGGGGTGGGATTCAGCCAATGTTACTACCGGTTCAGTGACTACGTTTTGCACCTTAAGCTGTGCTGCCCGGACAGCTGAAAAGCGCAGCACGCAGGTATGCAGCATTTGAAAAGCGTCATTTTTCCTGCTTTTTCAACCTCAGCTGTGCCGCGCAAAGCAGCTGAGGTTGAAAAAGCAGGAAATAAAGGACAGGTAAGAGCCCGGGCGGGCAGGTGGGCCAAACAGCAGCAAATGCAGAACCAGTTCGGTGTCTGCTGCTCTTCAGAGCTACCAGTTCTATAGAACCCCTGGTTCATTCATGTGTATGATATTCATATGCTGAAGATGTATCCTCATAATAATATCTTCATCTCATGGTTGGCCTTCTGCTGAAGAAGGCTGCAGTTGGACTAAGACTGTTTTAGTATTAATTAATAATTTCCAGCTTGTGCCAGCTGAGCAACCTGACATATAGGTCCCATGGAGGAGTCTTCAGAGGATGGCAATCTGCTGTACTCCAGGTGGCTCACTCTGTGTTTTCCTCCTCCTATCCAACCACTGCCCTGAAACCTTTCCATGTTATAATGTGTGTTAGCAGCAACACCACCCAGTCCCATTGCCCGGCACTGTAAATGTAGGCTGTGAAGGCCGTGTTCTGTCTTTCTCAAGGATGAGAGTCTGTGCATTCATTTCATGGACACTGCCTGACTATTCTAATTTTTGTTGTTTGCATATGGAAATATTGACCTTATGAAAAACCTAGCCAGGATCTTCTAGGAGGTTGATATTCCCTTTATGACCCCAGACTGATGGCAACATTAGTTTGCAAGGTAGCCTCTCACCCTTTTCATGCACAGCAGCTGACATTTCCCTCAAGGACTTTCCCCCCCCCAAAGATTTTATGGAGATTTTCAATCATCCAGGTCATGGTTGTTCTATAGGTGCTTTTTCAAGAGGCAACGGGACTTTCTGGTTAAACCAGAAAGTCCAGTTGACTCTTGAAAAAGTACCTTTGGGTTTCCCAAAGGTTGGAGTCACATACTATACCAGTTGTTAAAAAGTTCTGTCCATAGCAATATTGAGGCATCAATAACACTGCATAATTCTTAGCATGTAAACCGGGATTGAAGTGTGGCAGTTTGCAATGCTGAATGTTGCTGTGATGACCCAGGGTAGGATACACAATAAACACAGTCACAAAAAACAGGTGAAGCCCTTTCCTTCACTTTGCTTCCAAGCTCCAAATATCCTTGACTGGAGACAAAAAACTCCCACACAAGCAGTTACAAGAAGGAGGAAATCCCGTTTAAATTATAAAGAGTAAGAAACAACACAAACCAGGCAAGATAAGGGCTTGAAGACGTCCACATATATCAGAACACACACTGGGAAGGACGCCAAACTCAGAGAGGAACAAGAAACTAGAAATATTTCCACGCTTTGTTTCCAGCACTGGCCCATACGCATGTCCGTCCTCTTATCCAGTTGTCACAGCTGCAGCCCACGAAGAGGATCAAGGCCCTCTCCTTCCCTGTAGACCACATCTCTCCCTTATCCTCTCCTCCCTGCGTGCCCTAGGATGGAGAGAGGATGGGCCTGGGTCCTCCTCTGACTGCCCAGCTGGCCTCTGCCCTTCTCCAGCCTCCTCCACAATCTCTGGAGCCACACTTCCACTCCCTGTCGGCCGTTCCTCCTCTTCCTCAGAGTTAGTCTCCACCAGGGGCATGACAGTTGCTTTCTAAAGGTTTTTAGGAAAGGGTCCAAGCAGTGCCTCCTGCAAAGCACCAAGGCTGGCCAAAATAGAGGTTTGGGGACAGTGATTATTTTGGAATGGGATGATTCAGTGCTGCTAGCTCGAGGTGGCCAGCTGGGAGTGGCCTACTCACCACTGCCAAATCCCCTCTGCCAACTCAGTGCTGTCATTTTTTGGTAGGACATGTCAACACCGGAAAGTTGCAGAGTAGAGCAGAGCAACTCTTCTGTGTTGACGTGTCCTGAGAAGAAATGGCGTCACCAAGCTGGGAGAGGGAACTTGGCAGTAGTGAGAAGGCTGCCTCCAGCTGGGCATGCTGAGCTAGCGACATCGAGTTGTCATATACCCTTCCACCCTTTCTACCAGTCAGTGATACAGGATGAGAGGAGCAAGTACAGCAGGTATCATACCAACCACTGTCCTGAAACTTTTCCATGTTATAATGTGTATAGGCAGCAACACCAACCAGCCCCATTACGAGGCATTGTAAATGAAGACCGTGAAAACAACATTCAAGGAGGGGAGGAAAATACTTCAGACACAAGGAAAGTAGGGATAGTTGGCTTTGGAATGATGCTATTGTGTAGATAGAACAGAGGTGAAACAGGCTTTTTCTTCTTTAATTTTGGTTTTCAGCACAGATCCTGAAAAGTGATCAGGATAGTTGATACCCCTGTTTACAGGAACTGTGGAGCTCTTAAGAATTCTTTTGAAGTGAGGGAGGTGGCCTTTTGGACTATAGGTTTTGTACATATACTGTATCTGACAAGTGTGTCGGGGTGCCAGATGGATGCAACCACAATGGATGAATACATATTCATGTATACATATACATATACATACAGCAATGACTTTACTACAAATGTGAACATTTTGTTTTATTTTGTTTTTGCCATTAACCTTTTATGAGGCATTGGAAATTTAAACAGATGTTAATATAAAAATGTTTTGAACATTTGAATTTCTCCTTGCACAACTGTCATTCGCTTGCTGATGAACTGTGCTTTCTGTTTTGTTATAAGATAAAATATATGTTTATGTGCACAGAAATGATGTGACTTCATAAACAGTGTTAGATTAATCAGGCTGGGATGATAATTGCGCCTGTTTTGTTGTGTTAGGGAATATTTCTTTCCAGTGTTGCCTATGAATAAACATTTATGATTTGTTATATTGATTTTACATTTGTTGGGGGTTGATTTTTTGGGTTCTTATTGATACATACCATCCAGATGCATAAATTAAGAGTTGGGAATTCTTGGGGACTTCCGGTTTGAAGGGCTTCGGCGACAGACAGAAATCCGCGATCATGCGCGGTTTCTGTCTGGGCTCGCCGCTGGAGCACCCCGAGCTGGCTGGTTTTGGGGCTAAGCCACCCCGTAGAGGTGGTGAAGAGGGGGGAGACTGCCAGCAGGGTTGAGGAGAGCCGCATCTCTCCTCCTCAGCTGGCCATTACTCCCTTTCCCGAAGGCGGTTGCAGCGGTGGTCAGAAATGGCCACCACAAAGGAGAACTCAACCGGAAAAGAATGTGCAGGAGGAAGATAAGAAGTGAAAGTTTTGGCTGACCGGGTTAAATTGTAAAAGCAACAACTAAGGTACCCTGGAATTTAAACTTACAAAAAATAACATCGCTCCCAAAGAAGAGTCGGAAGCAGCGAAAGAAAGTGAAAAGGGAAAGGTTTGGCTTTTTTTTTTCTTCTCTCTCCTTCCCTATATTGACAACTAAGAGACTTAAATAAGAAATTGGAAAAATCTGCTTTGACATCAATAGGCAATTAAGCTGAAAATAAAACAAAATGCCAAAGGGATAATAAAGATTTCTGGACATTAAAATTTTTCTTTTTCATAAGCAGGAAGGGAGAGAAAAAGAATAAGGGCAGGATCTGGAAGAGGGAGGAGACTGCCTGGAATTAAAAAGAATCTACAGTAAAACTTCAACAAGACTTCTAAAAGATACATTTTAACTTAAACTTTGCAATTAAATAGTAACCCCAGGAAGAGAAAGTGAAAAAAAAAGAGCAAAAAAGAAACAGCTTGCGTGTATTTGGATTATTTGGTGATTTTGGATTCTTGGTTATTATATTTGAATGACTAAAATCAATCGGGTAGTTGTTTAAAAATTTATACAATGGCACCACTTCTGGATGAATTGAAAATGGAACTTAAAAAGTACAAAGAAGATGCACAAGAAGGGAAGGGTTCTTTTGGCTTCGTTTTTCAATTCTTAGAAATGGAGATTTGGAACTATAAGAAACAACAAGAAACAACTGCAAAACAAGAAGACTGGGACAAAGAAGAAGCCATCTTTAATGAACAAGCAATTTTATGTGGGGAAGAAAAAGGAAAGGGGGTAAAGAGAATGGAGAATTT